AATAAGGGATACAAAAATAAATTTAATATCAAAATTATTTTAATATATGTATCATCCTTCCACGAGAATATGATAAAGAAAATAAAATAAAATAATAAAAGAATCGATAAAATAAATATAATGAAATAAGGGATACAAAAATAAATTTGATATCAAAATTGTTTTAATATATATGTAAACAGATCAATTCCTGATTGAAAAAAAAATACCAACATATTCAGATCAAGTTATTAAGTCCATTATAATCTTTATTCTTTAATTCTCTAGTTAATTAGAGAATAAAATTTTTAAAATCAATTACATCTTTTTGATTAAAATGTGAGAAGGATTACACGTTTATTCACGTAAAAATACATTCAAAACGACATAAAACAAAAACAAAAGACCACATTTTCCCCTTGCAATTAACTCACATCCGTTTTATACAATCAACAATCTTTCCCACATCAACAAAATCTTGCATTCTGGCTCCATTACAAAATTAGATCAGGCAATATTTTTCTTATATAACGGATAAGATTCAAATTACATAAACAAAGTAACACATACATCTCTCCCTTCAATTGATTCGTCACATATTACGTAAACACAATTATTATTACATAAACACAATCTTTCGCATTTTGGCTCCATTTTAAAATTAGATCAGGTAATATTTCCTTATATAATGAATAAGAGTCAAAAACCGAAATAATAGTACACATGCATCTTTTTTCCTACAATTGACTTACATACATTTTATATAACAAACAGTTCTTCCCACATAAACACAATTTTTTGTATTCCGGCTCCATTTTGTCTGTCTATGCTATCTGTCTATCTATCTCTTTATATGTCTCTTTATTTCTGTGTTTATCTGTTTATTTATTTATTGTTTATTTATCTATCTGTCTATCTATTTCTTTATCTATTTGTCTATTTCTTTATCTATTTGTCTATTTCTTTATCTATTTGTCTATCTATTTCTTTATCTATTTGTCTATCTATCTCTCTATATCTGTCTATTTATTTCTTTATCTATTTGTCTATCTATCTCTGTATCTATAGCATTATTTCCTGGATATAATGAATAGGATTCAAAAACATAAACAAAAGAACACACACATCTTTCTTTACGACTGATCCACATACGTTATATATAACAAACAAAATAAACATAAACATAAACAAAATCAACAAAATAAAATAAACAAAATCACAAATCAACAAAATAAAATAAACAAAATCACAAAATCAAACAAAATAAAATAAACAAAATCACAAATAAACAAAATAACAAATAAACAAAATCACAAATAAACAAAATAAAATAAACAAAATCACACCATAAACAAAACCTTTTCCATCCCCGGCTCCATTTTTTGAAATTAGATTAACCATTATTTCTTGTATTGCGGATTCGTCTCATTTTTCAGGGTCCAAACTGCAAGGTCTTCTCAAAAAGTTCATGTGCTCACAAATCCACTTGTTGGCAACTGAAAGAATAGACAAACGAGTGGTGAAAAGACACAATCATTCACAAAAATAAACAAATATATATAGATGGATGGATGGTTGGATGGATGGATGGATGGATGGATGGATGGATGGATGGATGGATGGATGGATGGATGGATGGATGGATGGATGGATGGATGGATGATGGATGATAGATGGATAGATAGACAGATTGATAGACAGACAGACAGACAGGCAGACAGAACATGATAGATATAGATAGATAGATAGATAGACAGACAGATAGATAAATAGATGGATAATTAGATAGAAGGATGATAAATAGATTGTCATTCACATTAATGAACATCAAAATATTAGAATTCCTCTCAAGAAAATCACGTTTAAAACAGCTGGCAATGAATTTTGCAACGAAAAAGATACATGAAAATAATTCCTCAAGTTTAACATGTAATGTCAGTCTGTGAGTTGCAATACAGGTTTTCATTTCTGTCACACAATATTCAAACCTATTAACACTCACACACACACACACACACACACACACACACACACACACACACACACACACACACACACACACACACACACACACACACACACACACACACACACACACACATATGTACGTACCTTTGGAGTTGTCACGGTATATACCCCTATTTAGTGAATTTTTTTTTTTTTTTTTTTAAGGAGGGCAGTACCTTTATAAAGGGTTTAATTCGGGTCATATTGTTCGAGCCAATACAACTGAATTCTTTGGCTATGGCTCTTGGATTCAAATATTTGGGGGACGTGGCTATAGAGTGGGTCAGACTTTAATCATGGGTATTGCTGCCTATTTGACAAACCTTTCAGGCAATTGCTACAGAAACAGCAGTATTGGTCACAGTTTTCAACGCTGTCCAACAGGTTTTAGTGAAAGGGGTTAAGATATTACTGCTACTACAACTACTACTACTACAATTACTACTACAACTACTACTACCTACTAACTACAACTACTACTACTAACTACTCCTACTACTACTACATTACTACTGCTACTACAACTACTACTAATGATAATACTACTACAACAACTACTACTACAACTAGTACTACTAAATTACTACATACTAATAATAATAATAATAATAATAATAATAATATAATAATAATAATAATAATAATAATAATAATAATAATAATAATAATAATAATAATAATAAAATCTTTCCTTGACTCACCCCACTTATGTCCCAAAATCACCGGGCATCCACCGTGTTGAGACCGCCAATTGCAGTCTCCATTCTGCTTCAGATTGTACCACATGACAGCCGCTCCTTTGACGGGCGCCACGGAGATCCCTGCCCTCGGGAACGCTGTCCACCCACCTGCTTCCACGTCAGACAGCTGGTAAGGAGAGAGGAAGTTACTAAAGCTGTAAGAACTGGTGTAACAAGCTCGGGAAATTGCTTGTTTTGCCAGGTGCTTTTTTGGACTTTTTTTTATTCTTTCTCTTTTTCCTTCTTTCTGATCTTGGAAGGAATTGTACATTATCAACCATCGGTTTAGGGAGACTCGAGAGACAAATCTACTCTTGTATAAATTGTATAAATTCGCCATATAGCCAATACAAAAGGTATTACACGAGGGAAACAAGAGAACCACTCACATAAAACATCCAGGTAGCTAGACGATCCCCACTTATGAGAGTACCCTTTTCGGCCTTTGTATTGTTCCACTGTTGAGGAAAGACCAGTTAGGACCGTAGGAAATTTTATAAGACTCATAATGGCACGTACAGTTGTGTCAGTGTGGTGTGTACATGCGTGTGCTGCCATAAAACAGTCTTTTACACCTAAATTTTCTTTTCGTGAAAAATTAGTTGTAACCTGTATTCTCTATGAAAAATGAAGGATAGTCCTGACTATTTAACAACTTGTCAGCTAAGAAGAAAGTTAAATAAATAAAAACAGAAGTAAAATCTGAAAAATAAAGATCAATAAACATCTGTAAAGGAAAGCAAACACCCGAGATATTATGAAAATTTCAGCTCCCAGAGTTCACAAATGGAGTAACTACCGTAAAATTAAGCTCCCCAGAGTTCACAAATGGAGTTAAGGCGCTGTCACACTAGCACTTTTTCCGTCAATTTTTTTTTTTTTACAATTTTCTGATTTTTTCCCCCATTTTTGAGCGAATTGTCGATTCTCCAGTCAGACGATAATGATCGTTTCCGTCTGAAAACCTTTCCGTCAACTTCTTCAGCCAAGCATAGTCAGCAAAGAGCTATTCGAGAATGTCTGTATTTATGTTAAAATTGTAAAAAAAAAATGACGGAAAAAGTGCTAGTGTGACAGCGCCTTAAGCATGATGGGAAAATTCCGGTTTTAAATAATGGGTATCGAGAACTTTACATGATCAGTGCACAGTTTAGTCTATTATTCGAGACACAGCTAATCTTGTTCCTCTGACTGCACTTGCATCCTTCTGTAAACAAATCGTCATAAATCTTTTATTTCTTGTATTTTTTATGAATATTTACTACAATCTATATGAAAAGAGAAAAATCTGTTGCTTAAATTTTTGTTAGGGTTAAAGTTACAGTTTATAGTTCACAACTTGACTCTTCTTCGTAAATATAAACAGTAAAAAAGAGACAGTAACTACAACAATTTAAAGTCCACTATATAACAAAGATTGCTTTCCTCAATATTCCTCAATGCATCAAAATTATCATTCTTTGTATATCAAAGCTATAAAGAAAACATTAATAGAACATGATATTTGATCCACAATGACCTGAACGAAAAAGAAAAATTTAGTTCCACTCCTTCCTTATCATAACATAACCCCCCCCCCAAACCCCAACCTATTAAACAAGGTAGCTATTTAGCTCGTTTAACAAAATAATGCATTTCTAGATAAAAAGCTAATTATGCCTTTAATATCACGGTTCAACGGACTAACCAATTTTTAAAAAATATATCAGGAAATTTATTCACCATTCTGAAGGAAAGGAGAGAATGGGACAGCAGCCCCTATTTCCAGCCTAGGGTAAAATTAATGAGCCTCATTATATATTAAAACCATAATCAAAAACTAATGAGAAGGAAATTAAGGAGATTCCCTTGATGTGACATAAGACGTCTAGCTGGTTCGTCCCTGTTCACAAGGAAGGGGAAGATCTCATCTCCCTTATAATGTCTTTCACTCTATCATCTCTATTCTTCTAGTAACATCCTTGATTACTAGATTTTGGTTGTTTTTTAACAGTAATGAGAAAAAGCATCTACTGAAAGACAACATTACACACTTTGCCACATGGAGTAAGAGCCGGAGAAGGAGAGAGAGGAGGGAGTAAGGGAGGGAAAAGGAGAGAGTAAGAGAAATAGAGAAGGAGAGGGAGGGAGAAGGAGCGAGAGAGAAAGAGGGAGGGAGGGAGAGGGAGAAAGAGAGATAGATTGAGAGGGGAAGGAGAGAGGGAGGGAGAAGGAGCGAGAGAGAAAGAGGGAGGGAGGGAGAGGGAGAAAGAAAGATAGAGCGAGGGAGAAAGAGGGAGGGAGGGAGAGAGAGAAAGAGAGATAGATTGAGAGGGGAAGGAGAGAGGGAGAGAGAAGAGAGAGGAAGGAGGGAAGAGGAGAAAGAAGATAGATGAGAGGGGAAGGAGAGAGGGAGGGAGAAGGAGCGAGAGAGAAAGAGGGAGGGAGGGAGAGGGAGAGAGATAGATTGAGAGGGGAAGGAGAGAGGAGGGAGAGGAGCGAGAGAGAAAGGGAGAGGAGGAGGGAGAGGAGAAAGAGAGATTGATGCGAGGGGAAGAGAGGAGGGAGGGAGAAGGAGCGAGAGGAAAGAGGGAGAAAGAGAGATAGAGAGGGGAAAGGAGGGAGAGAGAGAGTGAGAGAAGTAAGTACCACTCCCTCACTTTCCCAAACAAACCCATAGATCCTTTGCAGAAAAAATCATTTCTATTCTCCTGCCTCTCACTCGGGGTCGACATCCTCTCATCAGCAGAATAAAAGGATTGGTTCACATGTGTATTTATTCCAACTATACCGTGGGTTGAAATGTCGAGGAAAAATGCCGTAGTTGCTCCCAGAACGGACCCCGTTTAAATGGATGTTCTGTAATTTCGAATGATGTGGATTTACCCGAGCTGTGGAGAGAGTTGGATAGAAAGGAAATCCAATGTGATATCTGAAGAGAAGTCAGGAGGAAAAAGATGCTTTGTAGAAGTGACAGAGAAAAAAGAAAAGGAGGAATTAGGCGAATGGGTCAAGTAACAAGAACAAAGAAAATGCGAATTGTTTGACTAGTTCGGAAAGATCGCCCACTTAAGAATGTGATTGAAGGGAAAATTAAGGTGGAAAGAAAGGGAAAGAACTGGAATCTTACGGGAATGAGAGGAAGAAACACAGAGCGAAATTAGATGAATAGTGGATAATAGAAGCTGAAGGAGATGGATACCAGATTGGATTTACCCGAGATGTGGTAATTCATCGTGAACATTTTCTAAAGTGTGTGTATTTCAACCAAACAAAAAAGTGCTGGAAAAAGCATGTTTGTCTTTTTTTTTCTTTGTTTGTGTGTGTGTGTGTGTGTGTGTGTGTGTGTGTGTGTGTGTGTGTGTGTGTGTGTGTGTGTGTGTATGTTTTGTTTTTTTAACATCACCAAAAAAACGATAATTACAAAGCTAATGGTTTCCGAATCTAAAAAAAGCCTACACTTATCCACACACCTATAAACCCGTGTTCTTTGCATGCATTCTCTTCGTACGTATGAATAAATACACCCTCATACAGAGAGAAAACTTATACCCTACTACAACTCCAGAACTTACTTCACCAGGAGGATAGATCTTGAAGAAGTGGTCCATGTGGTACTGGTAGTGGCCCCCAACACCGTAGCTGAGAACCTGTGGTATTAGATGCTCTTTAACATATGTTGTGTCATTTGCTCCTATTTCTGTTTGTTATAATTATGGTTGATATGAATTATTTGCCGAAATTTGTGATTTGTATAACGTATTTATACACTGATATATGTATGTGTATATCATATATATATATATATACATGTGTGTGTGTGTGTGTGTGTGTGTGTGTGTGTGTGTGTGTGTGTGTGTGTGTGTGTGTGTGTGTGTGTGTGTGTGTGTGTGTGTGTGTGTGTGTGTGTGTGTGCATGTGTGAGATATATATATATATATATATATATATATATATATATATTATATGTATATATATATATATATATATGTATATATGTATATATATATATATATATATATATATATATATATATATAATACATATACAATATATCCTTTACTGATTTCATATTTAAGCGTGTAAAACAGAACCTGAACGATAAAAATTAGTCCATCCTTAATTAAAACACACACACACACACACACACACACACACACACACACACACACACACACACACACACACACACACACACACACACACACACACACACGCACGAACGAAGATAAAAATACAAACAAAATCGCCCCAAAACGGAGACTTCAGCTTATCCATCCAGACCGCTTTGAAGCCGCGTCCGCCGCCCGTGGAACGACCAATTACAGGAAACAGTCGCTAGTCTCCTTTTGTGAGTGTTTATCCCTACGCTGATTGTTATTTCGTGCAACATTTGATCTCTGGGAATTAGGCCTTTTGTTGAAATGCATGTGGCGATGAGTGTCGTGTGTGTCTTTAGGGGGAGTTTAAAGACCCTTATTTAGGTGTTCGGTTTTGTGTCTGTTCTCTGAATCGTGAATACGGAAAATGGGAATCGATAAGGGTGTTTTAGAGGGTTTTTTTTTTTTTATACATATTTGCTTTTGAGAGGTGATCGTCAGGTGTTTTATTCATCTACTGAAGCTTATCTTTGAGAGCTATAATGATAATAATGATAATAATAATGATAATAATAATAATAATAATAATAAAATAATAATGATAATAAAAGAATGAATAAATCCACAATGCAACGTATTTGATTATCTTTCCGATATCTCCATTAGAAATATAATTTACCTATCATGCTTTGTGGAATCATTCACATTCATTCACAATTTTCCCAAATTCGACTCAGTGACTTTCATTCACCTTGCTTCTTTCTAGCTGTTATATTTTAACGAAGCTGCAATATCCACATGCAAATTACACATGACTATTTATGGGACCATTCACGCCCATTCATAAATTCCCTAACTACATCTAGCTGTTGCTGATTTCAACGAAGCTGCAATATCCACATGCAAATTACGCGTCATCATTATTTATGGGACCATTCACGCCCATTCATAAATTCTCCTATCCACCGTAAAACTTCATTCACCTTGCATCTAGCTGTTGCTGATTTTAACGAAGCTGCAATATCCACATGCAAATTACACATCATTACTTGTGGGACCATTCACACCCAAATGCAAATTACACATCACTATTTATGGGACCATTCACGCCCATTCATAAATTTTCCTATCCACCGTAAAACTTCATTCATTCTATCTGTTGCTGATTTCAACGAAGCTGCAATATCCACATGCAAATTACACGTCATTACTTGTGGGACCATTCACACCAAATGCAAATTACACATCACTATTTATGGGACCATTCACGCCCATTCATAAATTTCCCTATCCACCGTAAAACTTCATTCACCTTGCATCTAGCTGTTGCTGATTTCAACGAAGCTGCAATATCCACATGCAAATTACACATCATTACTTGTGGGACCATTCACACCCAAATGCAAATTACACATCACTATTTATGGGACCATTCACGCCCATTCATAAATTCTCCTATCCACCGTAAAACTTCATTCACCTGTAGCTGCTCGCCGCCCCTGTTCTCGTAAGGGCCCTCGAACACGTGGAGTCCCGTGACGTAAGATATGCGCCGATTGATCCCCGGCAGAGCTGGGTGGGTGAAGTTGCCGAGCCAAGCCGTCTGCGAGACTCGGATCTCGCTCAGTCTCTCCTTGGCTAAGACGTGCGAGCGGGAGAGCTGAAAGATAGAGCGTAGTGTAATAAATAATAAAAAAAATAAATAAAAACTTTTTGCTAAGAAGAGCGAGAGAGCTGAAAGATAGAGCGTAGCGTAATATAAAAAAAAAAAAAAAATAAATAATAAAAATAACTTTTTTTGCTAAGACGTGCGAGCGAGAGAGCGTAAAAATAGAGCGTAGTGTAATAATAAAAAAAAAAAACTTTTTGCTAAGACATGCGACCGGGAGAAAGCTGAAAGATAGAACGTAGTGTAATAAAAAAAAAAAAGAACCCTTTTCATCGGGCTCGTGTGTGCAAGAGCGGCGTGGGCGTGGGCGTGCGACCCACCTTTGACTTCGCCGTGTCCTGAATAGCGCGGATCTCCTCGTCAGACACCACGTCATAGAACAAGTACATCTCGGGGTCGAAGTGCAGCTCCTCGTACTTGATGGGCTGGAGGGTGAGGTACGGACTCCCTCGCGAGGACACGTGGCAGTGCAGTCGCGAGGCTTCCTCAGGCGTCTGCAACATCATTCATACGTGTCAATTGAGAGGCGCGGTGTGGTTGTTCCGACGCGTCTGATCCACTCTCAAAATCTGATTTCGAGAATGATCTAATCTTCAAGTGATCCTCGACCCTCCTTACGAGCTCACGAGAAGTATTTCATTTAATTTCGTTTAATGATTTCTAAATATCACCAGTATCTGACAATTTGAAACAAAGAACAGTACCCAGCCATCATTGTTCTCAAAAAGAACGACGAACTGCACCAGGCCTCCAAACAGAGACAAAGAACAGAGAGATAAATAACTAATAGTAATAGTAACGATTATCTCGTAAGTGCTCAATACTATTCAGAGATTTGACGAATTACAGATGCTTCTTCCAGGGCCTTTTCCCGCTCCTCTTCAGGAGAGGATGTCGTGTAGAGGCCCTTCAGTGAGCGTAATTTGGGAGAGTGGGCGTAATGCAGGCTCAGAATTACAAGCGCGTACACTTCACACACGACGATGTGGTATTTGACACACACACACACACAGATACAGACACACATACACAGACACATAAACAAACAGACACACACAACAGACACACACACACACACACACACACACACACAACACACACACACACACACACACACACACACACACACACACACACATACACACACACACACAGACACACACACAACACCACACACACACACACACACACACAAACAAACAAACAAACACACACACACAAACACCCCACCCACCCACACAACCAAACACCCCCACCCACCCACCCCACCCCACCCACACCACACACCCACACCCACACCCACCCACCCACCACACAAACCCACACCCACCCACCCACCCACACACCCACCACACACAAACAGACACACCCACCCACCCACCCACACACCCCACCACCCACCCACCCCACACACACACACAAACACCCCCACTATTACACTATTGCTATTCCACGTACCATCATACGCTCTCCCCGGCATAGCTTGGAATAATCGTAGTCCCAAGACAGCTGATCCGGACTCCTCGAGATCTTCGCAGGAAAATAGTTGTGGTGGTTGTTCTGGAAGGTTCCGTCGTGCTGCCGAGACATGCGAGTGTTATTGGAGGAATCTTCGTCTTGGTTGTGGTTGATATTGGTTTTATGTTATTGTGTAGGTAGAGACAGAGAGAGAGAGAGAGAGAGAGAGAGAGAGAGAGAGAGAGAGAGAGAGAGAGAGAGAGAGAGAGAGAGAGAGAGAGAGAGAGAGAGAGAGAGAGAGAGAGAGAGAGAGAGAGAGAGAGAGAGAGAGAGAGAGAGAGAGAGAGATACAAAATACAAAAATACAAACTAGACAGTAATATAAAACCTGTCTAGTTTGTATTTTTGTATTATTTTCATCGTGAGTGCTGGTATTACTGTTATTATTGATGTTGATGTTGGATTATTATTTGTATTATTATTATGTTATATCATTATTATCATTAATATTATTGTTACTTATTATTATTATTATTATTATTATTATTATTATTATTATTATCTTATCATATTATCAGTCATCATAAAATTGCTTTATTGATATAATATTAGGCGATGGTAAATGTACTAATTTGTTTTTTTTATTCTTATTATATTAGTAATAATTATCATCAGTATTAATAGTAGGATTTGAATAAGTTCTTTCACTTCCAATAAGTCGAATTGCTTAATTTTAGTTTTTTCTTTTTTTTTGTTTTGTTTTTTTTTTTTTGCCAATGTACTTAAAGTAGTAAATGAGATATATTGTTATGTTTACATCAGCGATACTATCATTAATCTTTTTTATCAGTATCACTACTGCTATTTTCTTAGTGATCTAAATAACTATACAATCTTCATCATCAAAATCATAATCCCTTTTATCAAAATAATTTAATTCTTATCAGCATTACCATCACAGCCACAATCAGTCACAATCAGTCACACAGTAGTCAGTCACCCACCATTTCCGCCACGGGTTCCATGAGCATAGAAATATGAGCCTTTAAGTCGAGGTCAGAGGTCATCCTCCAGCTGTGTCGGTACCATATCCAGGCAGAAGCTAGGTCACCGGCGGTATAAGACGCGTTGGCAACCCTCAGGCAGTCGTATACAGATAACTCTACAATGGAGGAAATAAATGGGTGAAATTTAGTATTTATTGGTGTGTGTGTGTGTGTGTGTGTGTGTGTGTGTGTGTGTGTGTGTGTGTGTGTGTGTGTGTACGCGCGTGTGTGTATAGTGTGTTAATGATTATGTGGTGTGTGTGTGTGTGTGTGTGTGTGTGTGTGTGTGTGTGTGTGTGTACGCGCGTATGGTGTATGTATGTATATTATATGTGTGTGTGTGTGTTTTATTCTTATTTTTTTTCTGTCCTACAAAAGCGAATAAGAAATTATTTTTTACTTTTATCTTTCCTTAATCTTATCGAGAGAGTGTGTGCTGTTTCGCAAGCACATGAGAAGTCTTGTATAATATCTAAGAATAGATCCATTGTATCGCATGTATACTGTATATCATGCACACGTAAGATAAAACTTTGAAAATACAAAACACAATCACCAGTAGATAACCGAATCCTGACGTAACTTTCCTCTCTCGTCTAGTAATGCGAAGGAACGAGACGCAAATATTACGTTTTCTTCTCCTTGCTTTCTTTTCCTTTCTTCCTAATCAAACGTCTAAGGGTATTTGCGAGCAGACTTACTGGCGGAACTGACGGTGTGCAGGAGGCGTCCTTCCGTCAGATCTCGTATGTGCAGCTTGTACACCTTGCGAAGACGGGAGAGCGCGATGGCTGTGCCCCTGAGATCGTTGTCCGTTGGCAGGACGGTGGCACTCTCCGCTGCCAACACTTTCCTCGCTGCGACAAGGAACTCTGGAGGATAGGAATGGGCTTCAGAGTGCGAAGGAGAAAGAGAGGATTGGGTTGGTTCAAGATGCTGGGTTGGATCTGCGTTTTCTTTTTTTTTGGCCATTTTCGACCTGCCTGGGGGGGGGGGGGCTGACCTAGCCATTTTCGACCTGCTGGGGGGGGGGGGACTGACCTAGCCATTTTCGACCTGCCTGGGGGGGGGGGGGGGGGGACTGACCTGGGCTCGGGCAGACGTCGCAGGAGTGGCGGCAGTTGCGGTACATCCACGAGGGGTTGATCTCGCACTCCCTCTCTCGGCCCAGTTCGCGCACTGCTCCATGGTGTCGTTGCACTCGCTCTCTGCCGACACCGTGTTCTCATGAATTGTATTGTATTGCACTATTCTCAAATTCGTTTATTGTTACTCTGTGATCATTTACTTTGCCAGTTGTGTGACTGTCATTTGTTAAATCAAGCGGCTTTGCAGAGAATTTTACAGACATCAGAAAATTTATAGTATCATTATAGTCGTAATAATTTACTTACTAGTATATATATATATATATATATATATATATATATATATATATATATATATATATATATATATAGTGACACCAAATTACAATGGTTTACCTACTGTCAAAACCACCATAGCTAGTTTTACTCAGTAA